GAGTTGTGCTATTACACGGCTCCATGATATGGAGTTAATAGGATCATACGGTTAAGCACTTGTATGAGATCAGTAGAAAACCTACTGATGCCTTGAAGAAAATTATACAGTACTGCTCAACTATTTAACTTGTGACATAAGCAAAGAAAATCAAAGGTAAAGAATGAGTAAACCTTGTCTTGTAAAGCACTTGACTCACGTTAAAAGAACTGATAGTAATGTTGAGCTTTGCACCTTGGCATTGACATGGAGCAGTGTGCGATCAGTGTTTACGTAAAGTAAGATTAAAAATGAGCTTAAGTATTAGTGAGCTTACGTATTAAACTGCTAAAAGCAAGGAACTCTAGAGATATTCGCTGTGTACACCCACCCCTTCTTTCTGTTCTTCTCTAGCATTTGCATCAAAGCAAGCCTTTGTGTGAGCTCAGTCAGGGAGCTATGTCAGGTTTTGCCTGGACTGGGGAACTTGGCGTCCCAGTACACGGCCAGCTTTGCTGCTCGTGCTCTGAACAAAATTTGTCCTGTCTGTGCTGTAGTCCGCTAGCTTTTCTCTATAGGTGAGACCACATTGTCTGTGCTGTAGTCCGCTAGCTTTTCTCTATAGGTGAGACCACATTGTGTTACATCTACTTTCTTAGCACTACTGGGCGATATCCCAATGGCCCATATATCTTTTATCATATATCTTTTTTTTGAGCCATATCTCGCGTTTAGTTTAGGTCAAAAGTGAGTTAATACTGGAAAAGCTGAACTCAAGTGGTTTTATATTTGTTTCCTACATGTACAATAGGTAAATAGAGGAAGGATATAAGTGTATTACACCTCATGGTCATCATCTGTTATGGTCAACACTGTGTATTTGATACACGTTCATCTCTTCTGAAGCTGTTGTTTTTCCTACTTTTTTACGGGTATTGTGATGCTTTTCAGAAGCCTGATTCATCCCTTTATTGTGTTTCATCGCTTCTAATTTAACTTGAATGGCTTGCTGCTGTGATTGTCTTTGCGTGTGGAGATGTAACTAACTATTTCAAACAGCTCTTTTGACCTCGTGTTCAAATGTCTCGTTCTAGATTATGTAAAGTGTTTGACTTTGTGGACCTTTCTCTCACAGAGCCTTTTGATTTGACTGAAACTTCTGCTCTATCCTGCTGCACAGCTGCTATGCAGTAAGCTGTTTTTCATATCTTGTCATATAGAACAGAATTTCTGTAGCTGCTTCCTCATTTTATTTATAAATCTCAGTTGAAAACACAAATTCTCGCTAGGACTCGAATTCCCTCTCTTGCTGTTGTTTTTTATCTGGTGGTGTAATACTTAGTTTGGGAAAGTCATCTTAGGTGGACTTTTTGTGAAATTTATCATACAGATACAATGGGTACTGACTTGGAAACATGAAAATTTGTTTTCCTAGTCAGTGTGATGAACAGTAGCTGAAGAACAGTAGCTTTCTTGCTCTAGAAAGATAGTTTAAAAAAAAAAATCCAACAATTGAAGTACAAAGATGAATTTGGTTCTGTTCGGTTTGGTTTAGGTGAAGGTATGAATGAAGATTAAGATCACCCTACAGCTGTATGCTAATACAAAATGTAAGGTTTCTCTTATGTTTTATTGCTAGTTTTATTGTCATGCGAAAATTTTAGCAAGAGTTCCGGAGCAAGGACAGGTTGGCAGTGATTTGGAAATTACTCATATAATTAAATGATTATTGTGTAATAAAAATGTGAAAAGTTCTTGACGGGATACATCCTGGCTTTTACAATGAATAGCACAATTATGCAAAGAAATACAGTGTTGTCGTATCCCCAAATCAATTATTTCTTTAGCAGTCTTGTTGAACTCATTTTACATATGATAGTGTAAGCTGTTTTACAGCTTCATTACTTCTTACCCAAGTGTAACAGATTGAAAATTAAAGCAGAATTAAAATTAAGTGGTTGTTTCTGTGAGTCTGCAGTTGTATGATTGTTAATAATTTAATGTCTCTGCCTTACAATAACCCGTTTAAAGATGATAGGATGTGTTATTTTACTGTGATGAATCTAAGATTGTTTCTAATAGGTGATTTGGTAGCATGGTATTGAAAGGAGAGGAATGGCCCTTTGTAGAACAGGCTGTCTTGCTAGCAAATGCTTTAGCATTTGTGGAGCTCTTCTGCGTATAAGTTCTTCGAATCTTACTTTGATTGCTGGTTACTTCATATTCTTGGGACTTGTCAAGAAAATTCTAAAACTTACTGTGATCCGTTTCAGTATTCTTCGGCCAAAATTAATCCTCACTAACTATTTCAGATAAAATCCTTTCCGAGTGTTTAATGTTATACTGGATTATCTTGTGCCTCATGAATTAGTTTTTGAATTTGCAGATGAAGTCTTTGACTTGTACTGTGGCTTTTTGTTGCCCAGGAACTTGCAAGAGGCAAGTGATTCTCCAGCTGAGCTGTTCAAATGGTGCTGATACAGCTTTTGTTTTTGTAGAGTAGTCTGGTGATCGTCAGAGCCTCATGGAGAAAAGCCTTTTAACTACTGACACTTCAGCGATATGCCTACGCTACATAGACGTAGGAGTCAAAATGTAAGATAATATCAAAAATCTCTTTACCAGAGCCAGAGACTGGAAGCCTACCTTCCAGTTCCCCAGAGCTAGAATTGTCTCTCTCAGGTTTACTGTTGTTGCGTTTTTTTATTATTTTTTTAATTAGATCAGACTGGAAAGGTCACACAGCTAAGTTGATAGTATTTCTACCTTTGGATGTGATGTATATCAAGGAACAGATCTTGATTTTTGGAGAGCTATCAGAAAACTGGAATAATGAAAACAGAGGAAATAGCTTCTGAAACCTGTGTAGACCAGCTACAATTTCAGGTGCTTCAGCGCTGTCTTTGATATGCGGAGAATTGCAGGTGGAAGTTTACTGCAGCCATCATAAAAATATTAAGTCCTGTTTCTAAATGAGGTATAGAGTTCTGTTCATTCAGCGCTTGGCTTATGCAGAGATTAAAAATACAGTTTTCTAAATGTGTAGCCATCTGCTTTCCTAAATTCAGCTTTACCAGAAACTGAATGATTCATAAATGTCTGCACCTGGCACCTTATTCAGTATCAAAATGTGGCTGTTCTTTCCTCATTGGCTCCCACAATGTTGGGGTCTACTGGCAAAGAATCTGTCAAAGTAGTAGATCAAATGAGCATTTTTGACTGAACTGGCGAGGAGGACAAAGAGGAGCATGAGATGTTTGTAAAATCAGTTGGAAACTCATAAAACCCTTTTCTAGCTCTCTTCATAGGAAGCTGTCAAAAAATGAAAGGAAAGGCATTATCCCTTCTCCCAGTTACTAACAGAGCAAGCTGTACACTCAACTTGAAACGTGTAATGAAGGAGGTAAACTAAAAGAAGTGAAACAATTTGTCATGATTTCAGAACTAGGAACCAAAATGGAAGGTTAGTGGGTATTGCATGGCATTTTGAAGGGATTATTGCTTAAGGTGTTCACTTATGTTTTATCATGAATTTCCAGGAGTTTACCTTGAGAAGGTGCCATCTTGAAAAGGAACATAGAAATGCACTGCTGTTACTTCTTAAGTTATCGATCAGTGCAGAGTTTGAGAAAGGATCAGGAAAGAAGGTCCTCAGGTTACAATGTGAAGAGAACTATCTGAAGCAATTTCACTATTCTGCAGGTAGGTTTTCTTTTTCCTGTAAACAGAATGACTTTGTGAAGGGCTATGCAGTGTTTCCCTGATTAGTTTGCAATACAGACCATGGTAGCAATGTGTGAGTAAAATGCCTAGGTGATGCCCACGTGGGAGAGGTAGGGCCCTCTGGGAACTTTTGCTACTTGCATCAGTGTTGCCAAATTTTTCTGCTGGCCTTGTCTGGCCATGATACTTAGGATCCTAGAAGCACTTCATCCCTTGCTTCCTTGTCCCCCACCTACTTTCTGAAAAGTGCTGTATCCGTATATCAGCTTTTGGTCATTTTAAGACTTCAGTGTGTTGCTGAAAGCATGTAGAGATTTGAATGTTCTCCTGTGACAGATACGAAATGGAAGGGAAAAGAGGATGGCATTGTAAATTTGCAGTGCGCAGTTACAATGCGCTTCTTGTTAGCAAAAGCTGTACTCTTTCAGAAGGTTATGTTCCTCGGAGCTACTTGTCTCAATTCTTCACTTTTTTTTTTTTTTTTTTAAGTTCACCCTGGTTTCAACAAGTCTTCACAGGCATTTTCAAAGGAAGTGTTCTTGTAGTGAAGTTGAATAGAGGAGTTTGTTAAGTGGTTTGATGTAGGCTTTTGCTTGGAATTTTTTTTATCTCTAATTTTGTTTCTAGACTTCTATCTGTAGAAGCTATTCATTGCTGGCTTATGTTCGGACGTCTGTACACTTAACGTCATGCCTAACAATATATTTAGGAGAGTGATCCTAAAACCACAGTTGAAAATTCTTATTTTGCTATTACATGAGAAAATGAATTCTCATAACCTAATTTATCATGAATATATATTTGTATTCAAAACACAATTTAAATTAGAAGAGCTTTTAAAATAAGTGACATGTCTTACAGCTGTTAATTGGTTTTCATTTCTGCAGATAATTGCTGTGCTTTTAATCTAGTAACTAAATATTAATGTCTAATCACATACTTTCTTACTCCGTTATTTTATTTAGCTTAATAAATCTTGGATGCAGAAACAGTCAAATTAGTGTGCAAATATGATGTCACTGGTGCTTCTGGAATTTCTATTTTCACTTCACTGTAAAAATAACATTATATACAAGTACCTAATTATCAGTATGATGATAACTTATTATGGTAGAGTATGATAATTAGGATTTTTAATGCCAAAAATCAAGCTAACAGGATGTATTATAGTTGGTACTCAGTCTGCAAGAGTGAAAGCCAGTCTTAGATAAGGACAAAAGTTGCTTGACTTGTCCACTTACCAAGACCAGTTTAGTAGAACAAGTTAAGACCTTTGTTACATACTGATAGCCTGCAGAAGTTAGTCTAGTCTGCAATCAGTTATAAGTGGTTAGATTTTAAACACTGATGATTTAATTTTTAAGTGGTTTTAAACTGTGAGACAAATAATATGCAGAGAATGGAATGTAAATGGAAACATCCAAATAAATCCCAGTAGCCTGAACACTCTACTCATCTGCAGGTTTTACCTTTTTAAAAGTAATAGTTCTGCAAGCATTTTTTGGTGTTCTTTACTTTATATTAATGAGTAGCCCTTTTAGGTAGGGGATTGAGGCCTGGGCTTAACAAAGGCTCAAAATAACCAGTACTGAAGGAAATGAAGTAATTTTTTATCCTTTTTTTAGCCTTTAACAGGTCCACATATCAAGATTTTTCCATTTTTACTATGTTTTATCAGATGCTTAAGCATAAAGAGCTTAAATGAATTATTGTCATAATATTTGCATTTTCATCGTTCAGTTGGCGGTAAATAGAGGAAGTTTTTATTCTGTTCTAAAGAATCCTAATGAAAAAAATAAAAAATTCCACCTGTTTCCTGAGATCATTTTCCTTGATATGTATCAAGGAAAAAAAAAGTTAATGGCCTGCCCACTTAACTGTATCTGCAGGCTGTCATCTTCCTGCTTTGATTCTGGTGGGTTTTAGTATCAGCAGTTTAGACGATTAGCACGTCTAAGTTAGGTAGTATGAGAAATTGTTGCACTGTTGCCTGTACTAGCCTTCAGTGTTTTGTGTCTTCTGGGTGGAGGCTGGAGTTGAACTCCTTCCCCAAATATTACTACTGTAATACTTAAAATGGACATAAACTGCGCTGAGGCCACTTTGAATTTAATTTCTGCGTATACCACCAGATAATGGAGAAAAAATACGCATGCTCCTTTCTTATTGGAAGAAAACATCTCTTATGAGCAAAACAGTTTTTGTGTAAAAATAACTAAAATTTTGACGCTGAAGGACTGGACTCAACTATATTCCAATGTCTGTATGCAGGAAAGGTTTCTTGTTTGTGCACAGCGCCCAGGGCCCTTTATGGATCTAAAGGAAGCATGACTGAACTCTAAGTTAGTGTTCCTCATTGTCCTCTAATCATGTAACCGGTTTTTCAATCCCTGCAATTCTCTGTACTTTACTTTGTACTATTACATTGTGAAAAAACATGGTCAGCTGTCTCCTTAGCATAAGAACATGGTCAAGAACTTAGGGAAGATGTGTGCCCAGAGTAGAATGTCAAACCCACTGTGAATTATAAAACCAGAATAGGAGGAGGGCTGGTCAAACCAGTTGTGCCTGTATTAGAGTCCTGTCACAGCAACAAAGAAGTGTTATAACCTAGCGACAGGAGGTTTTCCACGTGCCACACCAGGCATGTGACAATCTCAGAAGATGGCTGGTTATTCATGGTATGCAGATGGACAAGCTTAGGCTAATCTGGCAGTGATAACTTGAGAAGTTCCTACCCTGGGCCATTTGAGTTGCCTTAGTTGTGATTACATCCTCCCGTAGCATAGGCAACAGAAGGGAACACGTACCAAGGAACCTGTGGTAGACTTTGTGTGGAAGTGACTGAGGTGCAAGGTACTCTTACCATACTGTTGGGATGATGATTAACTCTGAGGATGATTAACTTAGAGGAAAGTAAACAAATTTTGTTACGTAGAGCAGCTGATAGCTTCAATCACGATTTGTCTTTTTTATGATTGCATTTTACATCTGCTGAAGGCATGATAAAGGACACTGAGCTATTTTGCTTTCTTGATGCAGTATTTTGTAGGAGAATGGTACCAGTAACTGATACTTGCTTGATTTTCGGGAGACTTATATCCATCCTTTATTATCCTACCCATCTTTATAAAACTTGGAAAAATGTGAAGCTGCTTTGAAATATGTCTGGTGTCTGCATACTATTTGGGGCCTGCTGTATTTGTGTGTTTGATGTTGTGAAGCAGACACTCTACTATTAGCATGTTTCATTTCAAATAGCAACTGCTAGTTTGGTGGCGTTGATCTTCTTAAGCTACTTTGGCACAAAAAACGTCTCTTCTAGTACCAAAGCAGGAGCCTTTTCTTTATTCTTGTTGCTGCAGTTTCTGTCTCTTTTATGAAGAAGCTATCTGCTATACTTGGTTGCTCAAAGTAAATGCGACAAACTTTGAGTATGCAGGAGACGAATATCAAGATGAACTTGCATGGATAGTCATTCCACGTAATTTTTTTGGCTAGATATTTCTGATATGAAGGTCAATTGTCACCTTCAGTTAGGAGAAATTGTCTATGTCTAGTTAAAGTTAGTAATTAGAATATGAAAATTAGTACTGTCCAGCAGCAGCAGGGAAAAACCCCATCTGCTTAGGGCATGAGTAGATTCAAATTTGGGGCAGACATTTAAAATCCAATATTTTGCAGTCAGGGAAGGCTAGGAACATTCTTAATATGGTAAACTGTATTCTGGGTACCGTTTGAATTTGTGGCAAGTCTACAGGGAACACTGAATCCTCTTAATTTTTTTTTTTTTTTTTGCTTTAATAGATTTGTTCAGTCACTGTGGAAATTTCCATGTTTGGTGTGAAACCTAGGCTCTTTGTTTCAATTGGTATTAAGTGTAGGATATTCTGGGTATAGAGGTGGTAGCATTTTATTCTGTTGATGGTAACTTGAGTTATGCAAGTAGTTTTATTTCTACTTGCAAATAAATTAATATTATGCTTTGTAAATAATACTATGACATAGTATGAGAAGGAAATAACCAGAAAAATGAAAACTTAGACAATACATTGGAAGGATACCAGTAGGGCTATATTTTTTTTTTACCTGCTGCTTTCAAATGAAGAGACATACCATCCCGTATGCTTCTGACTGTGCTAGAGCTCTTCGATATGGTAACCAACATTGATTAAGAAGTTCACGTATCTGATTTTACCAAATTTTTTCTCGTGAGAGGGGTGGACTCCACCCGCTGGGTGGTGATGAGCGTCTTTGAGGCAGCAATACATCAAACTATTACACTTTTTTGCGGTTTTATGATTACTTTAAAAAGTACTTCAAAAAAAGTTTAAAATGAGCCCAAAAAATCCCTTTGATCATCCCAGAGAAAGGATCTGCAAGAATTTAGACTACAGTAACTACTATTGAATAAGCTTGCACCTCGGCTTTATTACTAATAAAGTCTCTTTCTACAGGCAAACCTGCTAGTTGTGTGGAATATAAGCCACCTGTGACAAGCAGGAACAAATACTGGACAGTGAATTTCTGTCTTCCCTCTTAGCTGCATTATTTACATACTGTCTTACTGGCTGTGTTAAATATACCATTCTCACTTTATTTTAAACAGCTGTCTAATTAAGTAGGAACTAGTGTTCTATTACCGTCAAATTGGTTGCTTTCTCCTGCAGTTATGTTCATCCTCTTCTATTTGTGTGCAGATTTAAATGGTCAGTGAGGGTTATTTTGTTGTAGTTGTTTCATATATAGTACATTGTGAACTTTTTTTTACTGGAAGAAATTATCAAAAGGTCAGTTGGTACCAACAGAGCAATTGTTTCGTCTGTACAAACCAAATGAGAGACCAAGAGTTTGGGGTTTGCTGGCTCCAGTGTTGACTAAGCATAAATTCTTTGAAGCAAAGGGGATCAAGAGTTTTCCAAACAGGTCGTCTATGATATTAATAAAATTGAGAGCCTTTGTAAAAGTTGTACGTTGTATGTTGTGTGTAAAGACTTATTCACCACCTCCATTCTAATCTGCAGTTTTACTTACTATTTGTCTTCTGGTTCCCATTATTTCATACTGTTTGAGATGCTGTGGCATTAAATTTTTGCTTTGAAAGTGAGGAGGGGAAGCACTTTGCTTCTTTACAGGTACTTAAAAATATAAATTGTCACTTTTTCAAAATAGCCACACATCTTGCTGTTTTCTGTAGGTGTCTTTATCTACTATGTGTACCTCTCCTGTTCCATTTCTCTGTCTTGCTGTTTGTTGATGATTTGTGAATGTTGTCCAGCCGTGGCTGGACATACGTGCACTTGTCCATATGCCCTGTTTCCCTTTATATTGTCCTGTTGTTGTTTAACTGCCAGTTGCAGCCTAATGGTTGGTTTCAGTTACTAGTGGTGGTCTTTGTTGTCAATTTGTGTGTGTGCATATGTATATGTGTGTGTGTTTGTGTAACAGTACCTCCTTGTAGTAACAGCTGGGCTGAGTTTTCTTCTCTCTTCCTTACCTGACTCTTATACCTAATGGTGGAAGGTTGTAATGGTAGCCCCTTGTCACATACCTAATGGTATTCATGAATCCCTCTCTGTTGTAACAATAGCCAAAAATTTATGATATGTTGGTTAATAAGGCAGGAGCATGTAGTTGAATGACTGGGATTGTGTGAATATGAAGAGAAAGCTAAACAAATCGGAAATCAAGTATGCAAACACGCTTGTGCTGTAAGATGGCAGAGTCGCTGCTTCCATTGAGAATTATTGGAAAAACAAAGTTGAATTTGTGAATGATGAATATGCCCCCTGTTTATGAATAAAGGTATATATGTATATGAATTAGTCAGTATTTTAATAATGTATTATTTAGTAACTTATAGCTTCTTCCAGGATTGCATCTGGAAGTTATGACCACTCTAACAAATTTCTCCTAATGGAAATGACATCTTAGGGGCTTCTTATGTTGTCTGAAAATGCCAGCAGTCTTTCCAGAGAGCTCATCATCTGGGATTCCTGAGACAGAAGATACAGCACCGTAACCAGGCTCTCTTCCCTGAGTGTTCTGGCTATATGGGTCATGAGATGATGTACTTTACTGTCAGAACACTTTCTACATAGCTTTTTCGATTCCTCAGATGTTTGTTTTACAAGCTACTTCTGAGAAAGTAAATCTGCCACAGACCATCTGTGCTCTTGCAGCAAAGGATTTCTGCTGCTTGGGAACAGACAGGGAGGAGACATTTTTTTTTTTTCCCCTCCCCCTTCATTCCTTCATGTTGCTGGGTATAAAGACATTTTGCTCTATAAGTATATATGGGTACTTGGTCAGGACATGACAGTTGTATGTATGTTCTCATTGGTTAGATGAGTAACCCTTGTTGTGAAAATGCATATGATAAGTCATATTTTTGCCTTCAAGCAACCTATTGGAAAAGAGAGCTGTAAAGCCGTAGATTCTTAAAAGATGAAGATGCTTTTATCTGAAGTATTTTTGGAGGTGATCGCTTAGACTTGTTGTGGATTTAGAAAGAAATAAATTGATTAACTTTGAAAAGCCCTGCTATTTTTCTAGTTGCCTTGTGATTTACTGTCCAGCTACTTTGTTTGCTGTCCCTGATTTTTATCCTCCTTTTAGGAACTTGCACTGGAGCATTTATTTAAAAGTCAGCCTGGAAAGCTGACAAATTCTGCGTAAAACTTATGTATCTAATTATTTCTACCCTTAGAATATTACTTTCCAGTAGCCTTTCTGTCCCCTCTGTAAACCTCTATTTAATTTTAAGTTTGAATATAATGTTGTGTAATGTGAATTCTCCTTCTAGATTTCCAAAAGAAAATGATGGAAGAGTATTTACCAGCAATGCAAACAACCCTGGAGCCAGTCAATCTGTTGGACAATGCCTATTCCAGCTCCCTAGATAACAAGAAGCCTGATAACACACCTGAAATGAAGGACTGCTCAAACATCTGTTGTACTGGAGATGATGCAGGTACCTTGGAAAGGGAATCTAAATTGTTCCCCTCGAACCATGATTCAACAGCTGTTGACGCATGCAGCGATGGGACCCTAGCAGAAAGACAGGAGCAGCAGTGTATACCTGATCACGGTGGAGGTGGGGACTGCTGTGCCAATACCTGCTTTGAAAGAAAGGTAGAAGGCCCGACGGAAACAGGGCCTTGTCCTAGTGGAGAACTTGAGCGACAAGATCCAGAATCTAATCAGACAGATCAATCCCTAATGGAAATATTACAGGAGCTAAGAGAGGAGTCTGACTTTATGAAAAAATCTATCGATAAAATCTATTCAGAAAGCCCTTACGACACAGACTGCACGAAGAAACTTATTTCCACAATACATCAGACTTCCTCACAGGAGGATTTGCTAGAAGAAATAGAATCTGAACTTTTATCCACGGACTTTTCAAAAGAACGCAAATTCCCAAACGGCGTGAGGAAGGGTGAACATGCCTTGGCTGTGTTTGAAAAGTGTGTGCAAGATAAATACTTGGAGCAGGAGCAAACTATAAAGAAGTGAGTATTTGAATAGTCTCATCACAAATATGGAGGTGTACAGTGAATGAGTTCAGCTGCATGTTGTGTGAACGCAGTGCTGTGGTATGTTACAAATAGTACCTTGTGAGTTGTTAGGAAGACAGTTAATGAGCTTTTTTTAAAGAAGTGAGGAATAGTTTTTATTTTCAAGTACATACTATGAGTAAAAATAATGTGCTTGGATCTCTGAATTCTTGTGAAACTTGGCAGAAGCTGAATAGCTAACTGTGTAGTTGAATAGCCTGCCAATATCTAGAATTAGTTAAGTGTTGTAAAAGTAATGGTGATATAAAAATAGTCCAAGATTCACTTAGTCCATGTATTTCTTTGGAGAAATGAACCTTTGAAATTACCAACTCCCATCTTGTGTTTCCTTTATGAGTTTGAAATTGCTCATTTCTTTCATGTGCTTTTAAAATTCAGTCTTGCATCATAATTCAGCAAAGTTAATAATCAGTCAAAAGGTATTTTTTGAGTTGGAAACTACTGTCTTAATGCATTTTACAGGAAGGCTTTTGAAATGCAAGGCTTTATAAAGTTTGCTTTAATAAATTGGGCTTAATAGTTCTACCATACAGTTTACTAAATGAAGAATATTTCTATTCATAGAAAGCCAATTCCTTCAGATTACTTCTTGATTCCTCCCTTGGCCTTTTTCCACCACCATTAGAAATGCTTCTTGCTAACAAAATGTAGTCTCTAACTTTAAATTTATTAACTGCTTGCAGAACTAGAGATGAGTGATGTGTGTACTGCTTTTCATATTAGGCACTCTGATACCATGGTAGGGAAGGAAATCAAAGGGAGGGAATTTTCTCCTAACAATCTAATTTTCTCCTACAATCAGATCTAAGATACATATAGGTGAGTAGCAAGTTAGTTGCATGAATCCTGCCTGTCTTTTAGAATTTATAATCTGGGAACATGCACTAATACATGCTCTTTTTTTTTTTTAAATCAGAAGTGCTGAGCTCTCACTGATGGTTTTGAAGCCTTTGTAATTTAGGAGCCTAGTTTATTTAGAGAACAAAATTTTTTTTTTTTTTTTTAAAGGAGGCTAAAGATGTAAATGTATGTCTAACGAGATTTTTAACATCATATTCAGGTTAAGTACTTGATTCCCACTGAAATTCACGCGATTAGTGGCCTGATCTGCTTAGGTGCTTTTGAAAATATCCACTATCTAACTATCTTTAAATATTCAGATGCATTTGAGAACAAGTTTATTCAGCACTTCTGAAAATAACTTCTGAGGTTTATTTATATCTTGTATTAGTTTGACCTTCCGACATTGTAATAGATTATTGTTGAGGCATCAGCCTTCAAACTACTGAGCTGTAAAGGAACAAACTACTATTAACAATGTGAACTTTGTAAGGAGTTTGAGCATGGATACTATTTATGGATACATACTTAGTTAGGGCTTAGAAAATCTGGGTTCTATTTCTTACTAGGTTGTGGACCTCATGGGCTACTCCGAGCAGTTCACCCCATTGCTCTTCCCACCCGTGAAATGAACATAATACCTGTGTTTTCAGACTCTTGACTAATGGAGCGATCGGACTGGATGTTTTACAAATACCTTAAAACTGTTAGCAAGTACAAAGCTCTCTGCTAATGCTGTAAGTTGCATAGATGACAGAATGTCTCACTTCATCATTGACAGTAACAATGCAAAGTGCTGGAAATAAGCATTTTGCTTACATGGAAGATGCTGTTGCTGGTTTAGAGTTAAGTTTCACGTGCACAGTATACTTCTGTTTTGGTTTTGGAAGGCTTTGGTGAATTCCTTTAGCACTGTTGGCTGTATTTCCAATGGAATTTGCAGATCAACAAGGAAAATACATAAATCTCAAACTAAAAAAATACAGTACTGAAACGGCTTACATCTTGCTTTCTTTTTTCTTTACAGATTGATTAAAGAAAATAAAAAACATCAGGAACTGATTTTGGAAATCTGCTCAGAAAAGGACAACTTAAAAGATGAATTGAAAAAACGAACAGAAACGGAAAAGCAGCACCTCAACATTATTAAACAGGTACAGATAACAAAACGGAAGTGTTAGTGTTTCACCTGTGTATTATGCTGTTATTGCCACTGTTTATTAAAATGTCTTTGGTAGCACAGGGGAGAAGGAAGGAATGCCCATGCTTGTATCCTGAGCAATTTATGAGGTTAAATCCACTGTTCCATTCCAAGAAAATTATTCATTGGTTAAAAGCCTTTACTGTCTTCGGTTAACTTCAGTTTCTAGATTCAAATCACTTAGGTGTCTGGCAGTCTCTTGAAGGTCAAGGAAATTCTAGTTATGCAGCAATATGGGGATTAAACTTTGTGGGTAGCCTTGGTGAGAATGTTAATGTGTCCCTTGGTTTCCTGTTTAAGACTATGTGTGTTGAAGGTTTGCTAGGACTTTTTGCAAAATCTCAGTTTCTTGCTGTGCGAAGATTTATTTCTGCTACATAAACATAAAGGGAATCATGTTTGGGCATTTCATCATATCTAATTTCTTCTTAATCTGCCTCCTTTATTTTCCGTTATTAACTACTGCACCTACTAGTGGAAGTGAGTGTGTGTGTGTGTATGTAGCTGCAGATATAAATGTTAAATTATGTGGAATGTATAAAGAGTGGAGCATATCAACTGTGGTGTTACACACTGTTTTGGTATTATTATTTTGCTATGTACAGCCATTTCTTCAATGAACTGATCAGAATCATGACCGGCTGAAGAGGAAGATATATATTGTGCATATTAGTGTGGGCTAGTGTTAGTATAGGAAGGAGAGGTGTCACATCAAGTGTCACTGCTTCAGAATCGGTCACTGATACTCCTACAGTTCCTTAGCCTAGTTTTAAAAGCTGGTTGCAGCTCAAAAATCTGGGTCAGATAATATTTAAACTGTTACTCTGTGCATTGAAGTACTGGTGATATCTGCCTAGTGTCAGATATTTTTCTGTTAATGCCTGCATCATCGTGCAGAAATCTGTTCCCAAAACGATATGTCGGGCTTACAGCGTTCCTGAAGAACGCATTCACTCATACAGGAACTTTATCTTTTGGTTAATTTCAGAGAATGATTGAAAATCCACGATGTGATTGAAAATTGAATTGAAAAGATTCGTGTGTTTTAAGCTGCACTTCAAAATCACATGCGCCTGAATTGGTCAATATGAGCAGCTTGGTCGTTATCTCTTGTCTGTATTTCATGTTATCACCCAGCTTTCCTGAAGATGTATCATGTAGCAATTGCTTTATCCCATTCTGAAAAAAATAATTCTAAAGGAGTTTAACTTTTGGTTTCTTGTCAGATAAGTAAGATCTGTGATACCACTTGCTTGCGGAGGATTTTGGAAAATACTGATTTTTGGGTGTAATGCTTTGATATTGTAGTTGGATAGTAACTGCAGTTTTTAAGATAGTTGCAGTAAAACACTTTTTTTTTTTTTCCTTTTTCAGTGCCATGTGAGTTTTTGTAGGATGATAGGTTTTGTCTCTTCAAATAAATGAAAGCTCGACTGCAAGCAAAAAGTACATGCATGCTTGCACATGTGAATTGTTTTTTTGTATGCTAGGCAGTGATTCATTTGCAAAGCTAAACAGGGTAGGCAACAGAAGTATTTTAGCTTACTGCCTTTTTGTGCAGTTCCAAACTCCTGCAAAAAAATAACATACTAACCCCGAGACCTTTACTCTTAAAACAAACTAACAAAAAAATTGGCCTTGGTGAATTGACTTTCCCCTGGGACAAGAGGATAGTCATTAAGGCATAGTTTGAACTGCCTTTGGGCAGCATTACAGTTTCGTAGTCGCTTGCTCTTGTGCTAGTGCCGCTCCTTATTGTTGCGCTAGCACTTGTGTGGCTGTGCGGCGAACAACCTCTGGGAAGTGTTCCAGGTGAACATCAGTAATTATTCTTCAACTGGCTTGATTCTCTGATCTGGTTCACTGGGCGACTAAAGAAGCATGTGCCAGCACAATGACTGAGCACCTCTTTATTTGCTGAACTATTTTTCAATGAATTAATTCCCTGTGCAATTCGGTATGGATGCATGAATACTTTGGCACAGGGATAGTGACAAAAGGGTGGAAGATGAAGCAACTTGAGACACCAGCCAGCACTGCTTTGGCATCTTGGCATTTGCCATCAGTCTTTTTTAACATAGTAGGTTATTATGCCTCATGTTTTACTTGATTTCATGCAGTTGTCTCACTGCAGATGAGACTTGGCTTCTTTCGTGCTCTTACTTTAATACAAAGCTAGATGTTGATATTGACTATTGCTGCTTGACAAGTATAAAATACATGTGAGGATCTAATGTAGCCTCTACTTTTGTGTGAAATGTAGGAATCTGTACAAAACATGATCAGAGTCTTATTTTTCCTATAATTATATCATGCTGTCTTCTTTGTAGCTAGAAGCAAGAATAGAAGAGCTTAATAAAGAAGTGAAAACTAGTAAAGACAAACTTCTAACCCAAGATGCAGCAGCCAAAAATGCTATTCAGCAGTTGCATAAAGAGATGGCATTTCGAATGGACCAGGTAATGCAGAAAACTTCTAATTGCTGAGCATCTCATGAACAAACCTACTTCATGTAGGAAACACACAGGCTAAGTTGCTAGATCACAAGATAGGTCAAAATTTTCCAAAGTTGGAATTAGTACAGTTCAGTTATGTATGTATTTGATAGCTAGCATCAATTACTTTCCAAATAGCTGTTAATGTTCTAGTGACTGATACGCTGTTTTTTTAATGTATATGTTTATATACATACAATTCAATCCTCAAGGACATCTAATTTTCCCTGCCTGTAAACTGATCTGGATTTAAAAGGGGGTAAAAGCTAGCAGTTGCTCTTACTTGTCAATTAAACTAATACTTTTTTCAAATTGAGCGCAAAGCTCTAATTTTTATCTCATATGTTGTTACTGAGAGCTTTTTTCCTTCTTAATATCATATAATATAGAGAAAAATACTCACTATGTTAATTATACAGCTCAGTTTATGCTGCTTTTGTTGAACCAATTGGACTCAAGATAGTTATGTAGGGGTCTAATATTGGTCTTTGTGAAACTGGAGCTTTTTAGTCCCACTTTGTTGTGCTACTGTACTGCAATGCTGAACATACCCAATATTGGTTTATAAAACCTAAATACTAGTGCACGGTTAATTCATTCTATTTTAATATTTTCCAGGCAAACAAGAAATGTGAAGAAGCACGCCATGAAAAGGAAACAATGGTGATGAAGTATGTCCGAGGGGAGAAGGAATCGCTTGACCTCCGGAAGGAAAAGGAGATACTTGAGAGAAGGATGAGAGATGCAAACAAAGAAATTGAAAAGCATACGAATAAAATCAAGCAGCTTTCTCAGGAAAAAGGAAGATTGCACCAGCTCTATGAAACCAAGGTGCTCTAAGCATTACTATATGGCTTAAGTAAATCATTAAAAGCACTCTCAGAACAACCTGATCAATACTGATTTGCTTTCATATGTGGTGAAAGAAACATGTTCTCATTTGTTTTTGCTATATAGCTATGAAAGGACCCCTTTCCCTGGGGGAAGAAATAAGTGAGCTCTTATTGTCATCATTTTTGAAATCCCCTCTTATATTTCCTTGACAGCTACTTTACTAGCTTGTAAAGTACTGCTTCCTTTTGACAAAATTTGGAAATCTGTCTGTTGCAAGTGCCTGGATTTTGGGGGGAGTTTCTCTAGGTTTTTTTTTGTTCTGTTTGTTTGTTTTTAATGGCACTGTAATGACATTGAATTGTTGCAGTCTTTATTGCAATTTCTGCAAGTTTTTTTCCCTCTGTAGTGTCCATTTTGTTCTGTATTCCTGCTTTTAAAAAATCAGTAATAAAGCAATAGGATTTTTCGGGCCCAGTTGCAAAAACTTCACACTTTTTAGGTCAGTAAGAGATATTCATCGGCCTCTTCAGTTGTTCAGGTCTTCTTACCGTGTGCTGCACAAGTATATTTCATGTGGAAGACCCAGCAATTGATAAACTATTAGAATTCAGACTTTGTTATACTAATTTGTGTCCCTTCTTCTGAGCGGTTGTACCATGAACTGTTGACAAGAAAAATATATCTTATTGAAAGTCCTAAAAATTTTACTTCTGATGCCAAAAATCATATCGGTGTCCCTTTCTCTCTCCCAAGAATGGGAAGTGGGAGAATGAGTTCGGTTTCCGAAACAAAACTTAATCTCCTATCTTCAGACTGCAGATGAGAGATTTAACAGGGATTGTACTGCCCTCACACGGTGCTTCTGCAAACTTCTTTTTGGTAAGATAGACCAGTTACTACAGAAACACAGTGTGAACATTTGGCTTACTGCAGTGGTCTGTAGATACTGGTATAAAAGGTTAGGCCAGCAGCATGCTTCCGTTATCATCCTCTGTTGGCACTGACTTACTGGTTGGTGATTTGAGCTGTGTACATCTTGCTGTCAGTGCTCCCTGTAGTCTGTACCTGTAGAGTAGGTACCAGTGTTCCCTTGCATTGACGTTACGATTTTAGTCTGTAGCCTTCTGTAATTTACGACTTTTCCACCTTGAAGCTGCGCCTTTTCGTGCAGTTGGCAAAAAAGCAAAATGGGACCTTTGCAGCTTACCCAGGAGATACATATTTTAGACCTGACTAGCTTGTGCTTTTTAATATGTATGTAACGTTAACGCATATAAAATCTGCATGTTAATACAGCTGTACCTTGCTACTCAAACCTGAATGCTGATACTTTTTACTGAATGAAAGGCTAAAGCATTACTGAATGCTGTTAATCCTGTGCATGTTTTCACAAAATCAGGACCTTAAAAATCCTGCGCTTGGCACTTACATATGAGTCTGCCTCTTGCAGAGGCACTGGATGATTTAAATCCATAAAATAAAACCTGTGACGTTTTCTTAGGATGGTGAAGCCACTCGACTGAACAGAGAAATAGAAAAACTGAAAGAAGAAATCAGTTCTCATGTTATCAAAGTAAAATGGGCTCAGAACAAATTGAAAACAGAAATGGATTCACACAAGGTTAGTGAAGTGGTATTATGGCATGAAACTGCAGTCAGTGAAATGTAGCTGCTATGTTATTTCCTTTTTTCTTTTAATATTACTAAAATCTGCTTTTAAAATGTTATTCTTCAAGTTGACCACCTGCAGCAAAACATAGTAGTGCTTCTGAAGATACCGATACTGAAGTGAAAGCGTTGAAAGAGCGTGGCGCAATATATGC